AAGTTCGCAATATATTTTGAATGTATTTCTTGATGGTCGTGTATAATTTCATATGGTGCATTAATTAGATTATCATATATATATTGGAAATAATTAAGAATTTCTATAAAAAAAAAGTAAGATATGGAACTTATTATTTATTTTAATGGAGGAAGTGAAAATTTATAATTATATATATTTTACAGTTCGTCTCTCTATAATTATAAGAATAAATCGTGCTTTAATAACACAATGTATAATAAGAACGCATACATAACATTAACGTATAAAGTGGAAAGCAATAATGTGATGAAACATAATCTACATCTAAAAGAATTTATTTAATACATGCAAGGTGAGTCACTAAGTTACTATCATTTGGAATATTTTATTTATTTATAAATGCAAAGAGAATAGAACTTTATTTACTATTAGAAGAAGAAAGAAGGTAAATTAGAAAATCATTCAAAAGTTGTATCACGTATCGCGCGTATTAAATATTTATAAATTATTTTAAAAAGAAAGCTCTCTCAAAATGTTACAAATTTGTAAAGTTAAATACTGTGAGTAATCGGTCAACGAACATCGTCTTTGAGCGAATTATGTTTGTTAACCGATTACCCACTGTATAAACAAAAATAGATTCGTTCTCAATTTATGCAAATTTATTTTTTATTTATTTGCGTTATATGTGATCAATAATATAAAAAAAAATTCCTAACAGTAATAGTGACTTGTCTAGCACGATTTAATTAATAAAAGATAAAACTAATGTTTTAAATGCATGTTGTACTTTGACTAGAGAACTGATAACATTGATAATCGTCTGTTACGTGTAATCAACAAATGCTAGTCATAAATATCGCATTTTAAGTTGGATTTCAGTATTGTTTCTTAATAAATATCTATGCACAAACTTATATTTATTTTCAATTATTTTGTAAACACAATCCAAAAAAAATAAAAATAATCGTAGCTTGTGCAAAAAAAAAGAAAAATAGAAAGAAATTAAATAAATTTATAAAAATATTAGTTTGGTCATTATCTCAATAAGAGTAATTATTTTTAATTATGTCTTAAGGTATCATTAGATTGGACTATACAATATATGAATGTAAATGTGGGCTTCTCTAGTCTAATATATATATTTTGTCATCAAGTTCGATTGTTGTCAGGGTGAAATGCATAATAATTGCCTTTTTACGAATGGCAGTGTTAAATTTGTTAGGTAAAAGTAATACATTAAATATAAATTATATGTATTATATACATATATTATTATATATGATTTTTATTATTCTTATTACATTATAATTATTATTATTTATTATTGTTACTGTATAAGAAATAATAACAACATTGGCAATCAAATAACTTAAGTTACACAAATAAGTTATCATAAAATTTCTCAAACTGTAAAGTAGAATATTTTTATTAGTACAATATAACGGGGTATTTATTATTTTTTATATTATTGTATTATTTCATTTATTTAGATCGTTTTGACTAAATGTATAATATTTTATAAACAAATATTTAAAAAATTGTGACAACAAATTCGACACAATAATCGCAAGAAAAATAGTACGATGATAATTTGATGAAATTATAATATATTATATTGTAATTGAAGTATGTTATTAAAGGAATCCTGCTTTGATAAAATAAGGATTATGAGAAATCTCTATACGTACTGCATAAATTCTGTGTCAATATTAAAAAGATTAATTTTTCAATCTTACAGCTATTAACATGTTAATTTGTCTTTTTTTGATATTATAAACAGAAACGCACTTTAAACATAAAAAAAAACAAAAAATGGTATGTATTTCATTATCTCACATTTGTACCATAATGTCATCACGATGAAACAATAAAATATGATTTTCAAAATTATAACGTCATCTATATTTTATATAACAAATAAATAATAATAGTTACATTGAACATAAAAATATATGTCTTTCTTTAGATATGGTTATAAAATTTGTAATAATATTAAATTATAAAAGTAATTATATTCAATTGGAAAGCTTCATTCATGAAATAATATTTAATGTCTAATGAATAGACATAATAATAATCATTAAGTAGAGAATATCAATAATTATACTTCTATTAATAAAAACCTCTTCTGGATTAATTATCTCTTCCTAAAATAATTTTTATACCGCTATATACAGAAGATAGAAATAGGCAATGATCTGTTAAAATAAATATTACTGTATGAATTGAAACAGAAAACAATAAAAGTAGATATAAGCCACTTTTCTTTCGCATTAATTTTAGAATAAAAATTAGCATAACAATATAAACAATGTCGTATTAAGATGGAATTCCAAGAGTTTTTCTAACAAGTTTTTGCGCGATTCTCTCAAACTCTGATCTATCTTCTCTCCACATTTTGGCAGCATCAACATTTGCTCCGCTTTCATCATTGGGTTCAGCAAGCATACTCACTACGCTTAACAGTATTTTTTCTACGCTTTGAACTGGACTCCATCTTTCTGCGCTACTCTCGTATCCCATTGGATCGTCGCCGGGAGCATGTAAGATACTTATGCATACTCTTCCATCCGCATAAACTGTAGGTAAATAAAATATTAATGATAATTATGCACGTTAATTTAAAAAAACAAATTTATATTCAATATGAAAAGACATTAACTATTAGGGTGAAATATTTCACAAGTGAATTGCATTTTTGGTGGGCTGAGAGGATAATCTGACGGAAATATTAATTTAGCAGGAAATACGCCACCTTCGAAGCACGTTCCCTCTGGTCCTCTGCAAATATACTTAATATTATTTAAAAATCTTTTACTTTATGTATAAGATTTCTTTAATCTGTGAAATGAGTAACACGATATTTTAAAAGTATTAAATAATATTTGCAAATGTAAATACGTACGTAATCAATGCTTCCCATTCAAAAAAATTTTCTTCGCTCAGTGGGCCAGCAATTATACCTTCTGGTGGATTTAAGGTTAACTCTGGAAAGATATTTCAACAATATCATTGATTTTTATGTCTTATGTAGAATACTATAAATATGTAAGAAATATTTTGTATAATACAAGACGATACGATTCAAACAAGAAAACAATCACTTTCTTACGCTTATACTCTGCCATTAATCGTCTTAACGCAGATCCAGCCATTATTTTCACTATACCATTGACATATATTTTGTCCAACAGAACGCAAATAAAAACTCAAAGTACGATAGACTAACAAGCTCTGTAGAAGAAGGACGATCGAGATAGGCGTTCTCGTCAAATTGTATCGTTAAAAATGAGGAAACATTGGGTACGATAATTCTCCACGGTGGTGTTCGGGTGTTCAGATTTTAGTACGTGTGTGTGTTATTTTTTTGTGTGTTGTGTGTGGTACAACTATATATATTTGAAAAATCAGACCATGCGAATCGACGCGCTCTCTAGTGGCAATAGAAATCATCCTCTCATTGTGAATATTGTAGCCACATTTATAACACTGCGATCGTCCTCCTTGTATATAGGCTCCGTGTATCCTTGTATCGATAATCGTTTTTATGTTGATAACACTTGCTGTAGATGGCGCAACATGTCGCAAATTGAACTAGTTACAGTCATTCATTTCCATAGATTACAATGAATTTTAATTGTTTATAAAACGAAGCTATATACAAGGAGGAGGATGATCGAGATAGGAGTTTACGTCGAATTTGTGTTATTGAAAATGACTTATTATCGAGTACGATAATTATCCACGAGGGTGGCGGTGATGTTCTTAAGTTTAGATTTAAGTACGTGTGATTTTATAAATAAATAGTTCTCTTTGATGTTTTTGTTTTAATTACTGTTTTTAAAAATCAKAYYAWKCGAMTMGACGCGCTCTCTAGTGRCAATAGAAATCATCCTTTCATTGTGAATATTGTACCCACATTTATAACACGGCGATCATCCTCCTTGTATATAGGCTTCATGGTTTATAATAATAAAAATATGCACAAAAATATATTAAATAAATGAATAGTCGCGAAAATTAGAAAAAAATACATAGAATTCGTAATGTTATGGAAATCGCTTAATCAGTAAAATACATATTTAAATTTGACTTCGAAGTGATAACGCAACCTTTGAATTCCTTGGTGCTATTGTGTACATAAAGCAAAAGAAGGGTGAAATGGAGAGATTACTTGAAAACAAATAAATATGTAGTAGTATTATATTGCTAGCTAGGCTGAGAAAAAGATTAATTGTAAGAATATCACGGTGCGAAAGAGTATTTATTATGTGCATACGCGAATATTTTCTTAAAAATTAGCGTTGTTCTAATACATGTTATTTAAAGATTAAAACGGTGGGAAATGAAGTTTAATATGCTTTTACAAGTTTAAGATCAATTTTTAAAATTTTATTATTGAAATATATCATAATCTAGTTTATTATTTTATTCGACTCTGATGTATTTTTACAATGGTAGCATTATTCAGTTTCGTATTTAACCGCCTATGTACAACAAAAAAAACAAGATGGCTTTTAGCGCGGATTTAGTTCGTTTCGTAAAAATTTAATGAAAGAACACGGACATAGCCGAGAGTTCATATTTGTTTGAAGAAATGATTTTTCGTTGAAATGGTGATTGTATATGATTATCCCAAATTACAAATGATAATGCTTCGATTTATAGGAAAAATATCGTTATTTATAGCCGCTTTTAAATAGTTAAAGGAGGAAAGAGAGGATGGAGAAAGGGAGGAAGAAAGAGAGATAGAAATTATTGCACGACTATGTTTCGATCGTGATTTAAACTTTATTTTGCTCGAAAACTCATTACAAGTGAATCAACTTTCTTCCCTCGCAATATTATATTCGAGAGAATACTCGAGAGTGAACACAGTATTCGTTTAGCGAAGCATTTATTTCGAGCGGTCCAAATTGAATTCAAACGGCAGAACAAAAAAGTGCGCTTGCACGAAGAACTTTTTTCCGAAATATCCTTTTTATTTTTTTTTTTTTTTTTTTTTTTTTTTACTATTGATTAACGTAGTATTGCCGTAACATGATATTTCGAATAATTTTCATTGAAATTGGATTTTGAAATAATGAATAATCGATCGAGAGATTAAACAGCGAAGGATGCATAGATGGCGTTACCATTGTATATCGAACGATGATCGGAATCAGCGGGAAAAAAGAAGAGAGATTGAAAATAAGTTAGAATGGTTAAAAATGATTAAGAGAGTATGATTATAATGAATTAGTAGCATAGGATTTATTTTTTTTACAATAATGATCGAGATTACTTATACATTCTTCTACACGCATACATACACCGATACTAAACTTCGGGACGACCTCCTCTACGATTGGTCCGCTTCTATACTCGATTAAAATACGAATCTTTCATATCCATATTATTCGATCATTGTCATTCTTATATCGAATTCTAGATGCATTTTTCTACGATCGACACGAATATATACTTATCGATTTGAGGATTATATACAACATTTACAAATTCTTCGGGACACCCAATTGTATCCGACTTCGTAGTTCATCAATAATGTAATAAAGAAGTCGAATAAAAGAAACCTATCCCACGACTAACTTTCTGGTAAGAGGACTGTCAAATCTGACGTTTGTATTCTTCCTTCGACCATATCGATCGGCGTATCGGGCGTGTCCGGCACTACCAATGATTCGCTTTGATAATTCATCGAATTTTGACAAACTTCTCGTTCGATGTCGTACGAATTAGTTGTCATTTTTTCTTCAATCGAAGTCAAATTGGTGGGAATAGTTCTTCCCGATAGAATAAAGGAGATTCTTCGCCATCTTCCGAGATTCCTCTCGCCCTCCTGGCACTCGACACGAGAAAGGAGCGTTCTCTTATTTTCTTTTTTCTCCAATTCTTCCTTTTCCATTTCTTTTCTCCTTTTCTCTCGTCTCTTTTCACACCTACTTCTTCTCCTCTTACCTTCCACCTCCTCGATCTCGTTCAAGCTCTGCTTTTCCGAACGATCGACCGCTCGAGTACCGTCTTTTTCTAGAAGACGTAGAATCCTGGAGATACAGGTACTCGCCCGCAAGGACTCCTCGTCGTTCCTCTTACCACGCGGCGAAACGATGCTTTTCATAGCCTCGACTATACGCTTTTTGATGTCCGAAATGTTCATCGATTGTATTCTACCATCATTCGACGTTGCATGCTCCTTCGACAAAGATTCATCCTTTCTCGCTACATCCTCTCGAATTTCTTGACCTATTGGAAGGATTTTCATAAGCGGTACTCGCCGTTTACTTAATAGCCTCGTCACCACGCACTGGAATACAATGAAAATTACAAAATTATAGATTTCAAGGCTCGTTCAAGTTTAGCTTAATTTTGTTCAATTATTCTTTTTGACAGGTCTTACCAGTATGGATAACAGAAAGAGAATCATCAAGGCGACTATGTACCAACGATCAGTGATCCATCGTTGAAAGTTAGCAAGACTCGCATCGGATAGAAGGAGTCTTCTCAAGGTAGCCAAGGGTCCACTCGGATCAACCTATGCATGTAAAAGGAGATAACTTGTATAATATGACGTAAGTCATGCGTCTTAAAGGTAAGTTAAATAAATCTATACATTTTTTCTCTCTTTCTTATATTTTGTATTTTTATAATCGATAAAAAAGAGGGGAATGTACCTCTCGGCATCTTTGAAAAACGTCGCAGTAACCATTGTAGTCGTTGCAAGGTGTGCCAGGCTTTGAAAGCATGTCCGGTATATCGTAAGGGGCTGAATTCCAAGCAAAGGACGATCTGCAAAGAGCGAGAAAAGAATTTACTTTTTTAAAGCTTCCTCTCACTCTTTTGATCGAAGGAAGTGTTTGTACACGCCCGACTTCAATTTAACTTTTTTTTACACGCCCGAGAAAAACGCTTTCCCGTTTTCCATCTGTAGGTATATATATCTATATATATTTCAACCGTTTCATCTTCGTCGTCGTAATCGTCTCTTTCACAGCTTGTGACTATTTAACGTTTAAATATTTTTCTGCGTTGCTCAAGTTACTTAATTTTACTTGACTCGAGTAGTTGATATTACTGTAACGAGACTTCCGGGTTTTAATTTAAATTACATATATTTTTGTTAGGATACTATTAATATATATTTTGTTAGCTATTAGTATTTTGTATCGAAATAAATAATACTTTATATTCGCAGCATTTTCTACTAAAAAATATTATTCGATCTAAAGATAAACGTGCGCGCGTGTATATAATAATGAAACATTTTAATCTCGTTTAAGCTCCAATTACGATTATATTTTAATTCCGAGAGAATGAAAAATGTACCAGGTGAAAGGAAATAATTTCATTTGAAATAACCGAGATAATGGAAATAAGAAATCGTTTTAGCTTACAATTAGTTTAACATCGTTAAAAATTGAAAGATATAACTTGATAAATTTTCAAGGACAATCGTATTCTCGTTTCTTTTATTAACAAGATTAACATGAACGAGAAGTTCTCGAAGTAGAAACTATCGACAAGATAGTACTACTGTGTATAGCGATGATCTCTCTTACAAGCATGGTTGATCCTCTCCCGGTAATTTACAGCAGAGTTCACAGCTCTTGGTTGGTGGATCCTCTGGTCCTGCAATACATTGACAGGATTCCAAACCGTAAGCCAGGCAAATGCTGCCTGTGCATTCCTGAAAGCAATACGAAAATCCGATAAACTCCCACCATTGCTTTACAATTATCGCTCTGTTCAAAAGGACAATGATTCATGGGAGATACTAAATGTGACGAGAGTAGTAGACAGTTAAATATATAGTTTATGGGCTAGAAATGACGAAAGAGGATATTTCAAACGTATGAACATTCTCCTCGTTTATAATACATACGTAGGATTTCGTGCTTTGTTCTATTTGCCATCTTCTCATTGACGTTATCGTTCTATCTAACTACAAAGATATAGATAATACTGTAGCAATTAAATGATAAAAACACCTTCATTTATTGTAATATTTCTTCAAGCACGCAATATTTCATTATCATACAGATATATCTAATTTTTGTTATCATTTTCAATCTTACCATGGAGAAATTTCTTTCGATGTAAAATAATATCATCTTTCCTGATATTTTGGAGTTAGAACAAATTTACTTAGAGACTGGTAAACAAATTGCAAAGAAAGCTTATCCGATTGAACAGCAGGACGTATTGGTAATTAAATGGTCCTTGTTTGAATCGAAAAGAGAAGTACAGAGAAAGTGAAAGAGAGGTAGAGAGAGAGAGAGAGAGAGAGAGAGAGAGAGAGAGAGAGAGAGAGAGAGAAACAGATACGAGCTGGCAAATGAGCATGTTACTACATTGTCGTAGGTAGTTGGGATATAGGAAAATCTAGCTTACTATTTGTTTTTCGTCGAGGAGAAAGAGAGAATAGGTACTTCGGGTAACGAGGATCAGATACATTCGATTCTATTCAGCCGAGTGGAAACATTGGTACGCGAAGAGGCAAGTCGACTGTTGAGGAGGAGGAAAAGGAAGGTGGAGGAGGAGGAGGAGGAGAAGGGAAAAGGGTAGAGGGCTTTTCTCTCGTATGTACGAGCCGTGGAAATCGATATTCCCGAAATAGTCGGTTTCTAATTTGCAAGTACAATAACGTCGGTTGGTCGGTTGGTCGAAAGAGGAGACGAGAGAAGTGGAGAGGCGATGGATGCTAACAGAGAGAGTGTGAGAGAGAGTGTGAGAGAGGGAGAGAAGTCAGCTGCCGCGCTACGTCCCCGAAAGTTTGCAATTTGCTTTGGTGTTTCCGCACCGTCGGCAACAATGAGACGTCGACGTCGCATCCTCGACTCCACACCGAATTCGACGTTCTCTGAATCGAACGGGAAAGGAACGTTTCTATGTTCGTGTCAAGAATAAAATTGTATTTCTTTATATTTCAGATTATTTATATGGTTTTTTTTTTTCTCTAAATTGGATTTTAATTATACATTTGAAATTTATTTTACGATTATGTTGAACGGAACTTAATGAGTTTTGTTTGTTTCAAGAATAACAAAAGTTCTTTATGCATATAGTACGTATATGAGATGCAGGTATATATATATATACATATATATAGTCAATGACTACTCAAAGTCCTAGAACTGATCTTTATTAAAGTCACGTAGAGTCGATAAGGTGGCCTCGATGCAACTCGAACGATCTCGCCCTACGGAAATTCGTAACTCTGTACGTTCCTGGCGCGAGTGCTGTTGTAATGGCGATTGTTTCTCGACCTGTAGGTACGGCCAAACTTTCCCCTTCTGCGATTCGTGCCGAGAAGTTACACGGAAGCAGTTCGAGCGTTAGATTTTATCGCGCTCGTTCCACCACCGAGGCCCTTATTTGTTCCGTTAGTTAAAACGAAATAATCGCTCGGATATCTTGATTCCGTTACTCCCCTTTTCAGTTTTTTTTCTTCCTTCTTTTAATCCGTTCCCTTCTCACGATAAGATCTCTTCTCCTCTATTTTCTTTTTTCTTTCTCTCGCTCACATTTATTTTTACCGAATTCATTAACATTTTATAAAACACGTAAATTTAATAATAATCCCGGGAATAAATTGATGGAAAATTAGGACGTTATATATTTTTCATTGAAATTTTATATTTAAAGTTCTTATTATAAAATGTTTTATTAATATGACGTTTTTTCAAGATTTACTGAATTATGGTATAGAAATATATCCAATCGATATTATTTTTACTTCTTAAAAATGATCTAACCGATCTTTACATTCATTTTTCTTCATTTATCATATGCTGGTCTTATTCAGCCAACTCCTCTTTCCCTCTAGGTTCTATTAGCACCGTAATTCACACGCCGTATACTTGCTATTATGACTACTACGAACGTACGATCACGGAAATGCTAGACAGAGCTCAATGAATAAGTTACTAGCTAAGGAAGCGGCTCTGCCGGGAATCGTAAATTCGACGCGCCGCAGCAATTCCGTAAGTGCGGTGCATTCTCGTTGAGATAGTCGTGAAGAACGTTCATAAAAATCGTCCCTTATCATGAATATTATTTTTTATGCAGTTGAACGAACGTCGCAACGGAACAATGAAATGATCTCTATGCTAGTATAAGGGGAATTCGATAATTGAATTAAATTGCAGTCTACCTATGACAATAAATCATTCAATCTTATTTTACAATATAACTTCGTATTTGTCGAATAAAAATGAAAGGAAACAACAAATTAATGACAGCGTTCGTACAGGAATATATTCGTGCACACTTTGTAGATTTAAAACACAATCAATATTTTCTTGTAATACAATAATTTCACATTTTTATACGCGGAAACATATTTTAGGATTATTCTCCAACAATAAAATATTCTTTTGTAATCAAATTGATATCAATTGTGAAAAGTTAGTCATAAAATAGGTTTCTGTGTATAAAAATTGTGAAATTTAGCATTACAAGCAAATATGAATTATTTGAAATTTTAAAACGAGAACGGATACGAATACTCCTGTGATTCACTGCATATATTAAAAATTGATCCAATTGGAAAAGGTAGAAATTATTTGAACAAGGAATGATCGTTTAAATGTTATCATTTATATCTGCACTGATTTGATATTTATTCATCTTTCGTTTACACGTCTGATTGTGAGGAGAGAAACAAATATGTGCTTTTGTTTCAACTATGGATTGGTTTATTCGTATTCGAGGTCGTGTTGTGTTAATCGAGGAATACATATATACATCACGTCTAACGAAGTGACCACGACCTCGAGGGAAAGCAGACGTCAAAGCGATAATCACCGTCGATATTTCTATACCTGAAATATTCGCATGCCAATATAATGGCGTACATATATGGTATGTGCACAACGAAACGGTCGATGTATGAATTAATTATTATATTAATAGCGACCGGCTATTCTACCATACGCGTATTCAATCCACGATCAAGAGAAAGAGAGAAAGAGAGAACAAAAGCTTCATAGGCGTGTAATTAATGCCCTGTGCGTTCTATTACTATCAACTCCATAGCTCTGTTTTCATGTGTATTTCATTTCTATTAATATTCTTTTACCAATACCCCTGGCCTATTTCGTTGGTATTTCGAGCATTATTATCTATGATAGCGATAAAGCGAACAAACTTCATTCGTTCATTCATTCATTCGAAACGAATGAGAGGTATAACCTGACAAATTCGGGATTAACTTTGGCTATCGTAATTTCACGACGAGAAACATGTTCTCTACATTTCCATTTTCCCATATATTCGAAAAAAAAATGTCCAAACTCTGACGCGTCCCTTCCTTTCGTGTGTTATTTGATGAAAATTCTGTTGAAGAATATGCGTTCGATTTACGCGATACGATGTCGAGTAAAATTTACTCCTATTGTGAATATTTAATTACATTAGAAAAAAAAAAAAAAAACTCGTGAAAAATCATTGAAGAGAGAATACTCGATAAATAAAAACGAGATGGCAATAGACGAGTAGAACGTCAGTTAGCTAGCGACAGTTTTCCAATTTTTGTTCAAAATCGATCGATGGATCATTCAGGGAAGTTTCACAGACGGAATCTCTCTACCGGTCCAGATGGGATTTGACAAAGGCAGGAATCGTCTGCGTTCATAAATTCGTGGTTGTAGATCAATACTAGGTAACGCGGAGCTAGATGGTGGTGGTGGGTGTTTGTGTTTCTGTATAGGAGTAAGCGAATATACGTGTATGCTTGCACACATAAAGGAGAAATAGAGTAGTATGCAAGTAGAGTGGAGTAGTGAAGTAGCCAAGTGGTGTGCGAGGTTGTATTCTCTCGTCTCGATGGTTGGAGAATGCTCGAAAGGAGTCTGTGTGACTCTACACAGCATGCATGTCAGTATCTAAACGTGTGTATGTGTATGAAAGTGGAGAGAGACGGAGATAGAATCGTGTATTCTCACCCCCATGTAACAGACGAACTCCTCGTTGCATATGGTCTTGTTGGGTTTGTTGATGGATGGCGGACACTGGGGACCTCGGCCGTCGCAAAAGCTCGCGTCCCTGCATCCGTTGTCGTCCCTGCACTTGTCCCCGCTGCGTAAAGTACAAGCCGACGTGCAGCACGGCCCCTGCAACAGAGATACGACGATGAGAGAGATAGAGAGAGAGAGAGAGGGACTATGAGATCAGTATGGTCTCTGTGGGAATCCGTTAATGGTGTTCGAAGCAAGATGCGATCATGTTATTGGTTGACTCGCGTGTCGATCATGGAAAAACATTCGAGCGAATTTATGCCTGAAGCTTTTCGTTATCTCTACGTTTGATATGTAACTACATACGTACAACATAGACATTATAATTAATTTAGAGATATTTACTTTTCGTGTACAGGTGAATGTTTTGATTAGGAAAGTAGGAAATTTAGATAGTTCGTCGAAATATTTGATTACGACGTTTGCATACGAAATGGTAAACTTTCGGAATAGAAAATAGTAAGAAGTCCGTTTGATGTCTATATACATACTTCGAGTGAAATATTTTGACGTTTCCATCGTGAACGATTATTCTTTTTCCAAGTTTATCTACAAATAGGAAACCGTACATACGCGTATGATTCATATTCAAATTTTCTTTTGGCTGAACCTTCATTGCGCTCATGTGAAATACGCTGGAACATCACGAGCATCGCTTTTTTACTCGACAAAGCTCTGTGAAACTTTGTTAATGAGAGCAAACAGAAAATTCGGATTTGAAAAGGACGCTTTCAAAGAAGTCTACTGTGGTTGGACTAATTATGAGTTTGAGAATGTTACATAGGAGTTTTTATTATATAACGATCTCTCATACACATTCACCGTGCACAAACCTCTTAAACCTCTCCACGTTAGGTTGGCGAAATGTTGAAGGAAGGGAGGAGGAAGAGTGTTAGATGTTACGGAACTCTGATAAATATTGATTTATAGATATAAATAGATATCAGTAAAAAAAAAAAAGTAAAGTAAAGTAGTATAAATGTATCGTTACATTCGACGTGATTTTTTCACGGCTAAGCTCGTGCACACAATTTTGAATGTCAAATGTCGTTCGAATTTCCTGTATAAAAATCAAGTCGATTTAGCGTGGTACCCACTGGTAACATCGTAGGAATGGAAAGAGAGAAGATCCTCGTAGGAAATCGAAAAGTACATAGGAGAATTCGTGGGTCAAATCGAAGTTCGATATCTATGTGTAAAGAGCGAAGAAATAAGCGGCTACGGTCCGAGCTTTTTCCATCAACTCGTAAAATGTCCGTAGGTGTATGTAAAACATGGATACATTTACACACAGACGTTCACATATGAATATATACATAAGAGAGTTTGACCCACGGCTAGTGGGAGTATTCGGAAGCGAGAATGGAATAAAGAACGCGACTCCGCCTTCGTCGTAGTCGTATTCCAACTTCCAACCGGTCTCAATTTCGTTCTCACACTGGACGGAACGCAATAACATGAGATGGTGGGACGAATCAATTTATCGAATTTCAATACAGGAGACAGTGTGGTGTATATGGGGGTCATAAGGAGAGTACATGCGGTAGAACGATATAGCAGAAACGTTCGAGTCCGTCATTCGTGGATCGTCAATCCCGGGAATTCCTGAAATAAGTCGATCAGTTAATTTCGTGTTCCTGGAATTTACTCGATAATCTCGCGACGCAAATAAAAATGCACAAATATTTTACCTACGATTCAAATTTTCTTTTTTTTTATCTTTCTTCGTTTCAAATGCTAATAGATACATTAGAAATATTCAATCGTGAATTATTTGGAAGAGAAGATGACGGAGTGAAAATATTCGAATAATATTTCTATTTACTTTTGGAATGGAAATGTGTCGATCGTATTTTTAATTAATTTAAGAATTATCGGAATTTTTTAACTTTATCTATTCACTTCTATTTTTTCGTTATTTACAATAAGTATCGTTTTTCGTTAATCAATAAGATACGCGAGATAGATTTTAGATATATAGGCCGAGAAAAGTATGAAAGATTGTTACAAAAAATTAATAAAAAAGAAAAGAAGAAAACAAAAGGTAAAAAAGGGATAGAAAAGTTAGGCAAGTCGTAGATCGTGAAGCGTAACTGGCGAAATATAAAGCACCTCGCGCCCCTTTTTCCGGCATTCTTTCAGCCATGTTTTCAGCCAGAGGAGAGAATGCAGAGGAAAGAATCGTTTCTTCTTCTTTTCTCTTTCTCTGTTTCTTTAGCGAAAGAAGGCTGTCTCGAAAGAAGGAACCCGTTCATTCGTCTACGTCTTTGCGTTCCAACGGATCTCTGCGTGTTTTGCATCCGGCACTTTTCTTCAGACTCTCACGATGCACCTAATGCATCGAGTTCCTGCTCTCTTTCTCTCTATCTCTCTCTCTCTCTCTTTCGAGTTAGATTCGATTTTCTTTTCCTTTCTTCTTCTTATTCTTTCTTTTTCTTTTTTTTCTTTTTTTTGTCTTCGTCTGTCTCCGAGATCTTCTTTCATCTCGTTCCAACCAACGGATGTTTTCCTCTTGTTGGATTTTCCACATTTGTTTACTTCCCATTCTTCTATATATCCATTCTCCAATCGTATTTTCTTTCGTAGAAGAAGACGCGATCTTCTTCCGTGCCTCCTAAGAGGGAGTAGAAAACCGTCAAAATATTTTCTTCCCATTCGTTGAAAACGTCTCGACGCGTTTGTCTATTTCTCGTTAGATTCGTCTCTCTACGAATGGATCGGAACAAATCTGGAGTAGATGTAGAAGAAATATAAAATCTAAATTACTTGTCGGTGATTGGAAAATTCGTATAAATGAGCTACTGGTATTTCGTCCTTTCTTTTTCTGTTCTTTTTTTTTTCTCTCTCTCTCTCTCTCAAGATCTACATGCGCTGTGCTTTCAAATTCATTACATTTGAAAGTGGGTTTTGCATGAGAAATCGAGATTAACAGAAGGGAAGAAAGAGAGAGAAAAGCTCTTTAAATACTCGGTAATGAGCTCTCTCGCTTTTCCTATATCGTAACGACTCGTTGAATCGGTACTCGTCGTTGGATTAATTCCAACGAACTTTAGAGCTGCAAGCCGACGGTAGTGGTTCCACGCGAGAATCACCACCACCGCAAGCATACTGGCCCGGGAGCTTGTATCTAGGAGATGGAGGAAAATGAGGAAGAGGAGGTTTTGCCGTATACATACGTACTAAGACATGTTCGAAAATTCGAAAGCTTTCGGTGTTTGCTTTCATTAGGCAAGTAGTCACAGAAACGTTTCTCGATGGACATGAAATTCTATTCACTTTTTCTCCTCTTCATATTCTTTACCGATCGATTGTCATTAAGCTCAATAAGCTTTGTCTCTATCTATACGTATCTGTGTGTGAGTGTTTGAACGTGCTTTTGGCGAAAGGATGCCTCGGTAAACTTGAAAGAGAAGGCTAATTTCGAATACGGAGGAGGAGTTCGGAAATATTCCCATTTACTTGGATTACAAAATGGTAAGATTAATTGTTTTATCTCGTTCCATGTTAGCCAAGTATGCCTCTTTCTCAAGCATTTCCTATCTCGATAGTAACCACCTTGATTCTCCTTTGATTAATTATTCTCATTTTCTGGGATAGACGCGAACAACGCATAGTTATCAACTACGACGACGATCATGTTGGAAATGGTGCATTTCGATTGACATTTGAGAATTAAACCTTCATCACTTCTCTCTCTCTCTCTCTCTCTCTCTTTTTAGATTATCCCATAAATATCTTGATTCTATCTTCCAATCGTCATAGACATTTAACGTTAATCGTTGAAGAGAAATGAGATTTTGACTCGATCAATCATATTGAACAAATTTTTGATATTGCATCAATTATATTATTCGAGTAAAACTTTTTAGGTGGTACTAATGATTACAATTTTATGTTGTTATATTAGACGATTTATTAGACGAAAATTTTACTTTCGAAGTCATCACTGTGCAGGAACGTTAAAAAAAAAATTGTAACTATAAATAGAATGTGTTAGAATATTAAAATAATTGTTAATTAATCGATAGAAATGTCTATTGTTGTTTATAAGCTCGAAATATATGATCTATGTACCGTCCTCTTCGAAATTCGCCGTTGAACTGAGTCATTGTCCTTTAGAAAATTTCTTTTATTAAATGTTGTTTATATGATTTTCTTAACGATGCGCATGTATGTAACGAGAATTTTATTTGTAATAAAGATAAATTAAGATTAAAACGATCTGATTTTGGCATTTTTTCATCTTTATGTAATTGTTTAAACTAATGTACATTTGTTTTAACGTTTCTGTGCAATGATGACTTCGGAGGGAGAAATTTTCATCGAGAAGAATATCACATCGAAATTATTAATTATTTAAAGTATGTTAATAAATATATATAATGCTTATACTAGTATACATGTCTTAAAACAAGCTGAAATATAAAGAGAGTACATTAGATTATTAAAATAATTGTGAATTAATCGAAGGAAATCTGTATCGTAGTTGAAAAGTACGGAGTATATGTTTGGAACACCCGTTCTCTTCAAAATCCACCGTTAGACTGTTTCATTGTCTTCGGTAAAAGTTCTTTTATTAAATATTGTTTATATGACTTTCCTTATATGGTACACATACGTAACAAAAATAATATTCGTAATAAATAGAATTTCCTTATTCGGAAAGTCATATAAGCAATATTCAATAAAAGTACTTTCGCAGAGGACAACGTGTCAGTCTGAAGGTGAATTTCAAAGAAGACGGTGCTCCGGACGTATACTCAGTGCTTCTAAATTGCAATACACATTTCTATCAATTAATTAACAATTATTTGAATACTCTAATGCACTTTACTTATATTACAGACAAATTTTACCCTCCAAGTCATCACTGCGCAGAAGCGTTAAACTAATTACATAAAAATGCTAAAATCAGAACGTTATAATTTTAAATTCTATTTATTAGGTATATTATTATCGTTATTCACATACTCAACTATCGGAAAGTCATATAAACAACATTTAATAAAAGTAATTTTGTAGAGGACAAAAGCCCAGTCTAACACGAGACTTCGAAGAGGACGGTACGTAGACCCTATACACCAAGCTTTTAGATAACAATAGACACTTCTATTAATTAATTAACAATTATTTTAATACTTTAATACACTCTCTTTATATTTTTGATTGTTTTAACACATGTGCATTGGTTTAATCATTACATACCTATTAACTCACTTTAATTGTATAACTTTGTTTTTCTTTTTTTCTTTTGAATCATTTTTTATTGCTAATTATTGTATATTTTTTATTTAAATCTTCATTAATTTTGTAAATATATATAGTCTTTTTATTTATTGTTAATTTCTATATATGCATATATTATCTATTTATTTATATTTATTTATATGCATTCTTATCTTTTTTCTTTCTTTTTTATATTTTAATTAATTTATTTATTTATATTTATATTATTTTATTTATCAGTATTATATTTATATATTATCTTTATATCATTTTTTTTTTTTTATAACAGGGAAAGCACAAAGGATGACCAACCAATTGTTAGACATTAAAAAATCAAGTATTTCCTTCGTTATATCAACGTGTACGATTTTAAAGTACGGGTGTTTCCTATACATTATTTTTATATTTGTTTAATTAACTCGTTATAGACGAAGCTTTCAAGTTCAATTCATTAAATACGTAATTAAAGTATATTAAATGTATTTAAGAAAACATTTAGTAAATGTAATGATTTATGATCTTAAGATACGTATATATTAACGAACATTCTTTGTTTTCTACTTTTAATCGCGTATGTTACAGCAAACGTTATATATTTATTTTTAAAATAACCCTGTTTTATTTTTGAATTGGTCTTATTCGATTTCCGTTAAATAGAACATAATAATTTATATAGCCATTCTATTTGTGGTTGTCTTGTTAATAATGAACGATCTTAGGAATTGTGTTTTATTTTTTCTTTGGTTTAAAAAATGAAACATTGACTTTTTCTAGTTGTATTCAATTTTACGTTGAAGGGAATTTCTTACCCTCAATTGCTGCTACCCTACTACTGCTACTTCTTTGAATATTTGCGTTGATTTTACATATAAGAGACCTTGTACTACTATGTTGAGAAATATATTCACATCTACGTATGTGTAGAGAAAGTGAGAGAGAGAAGGAGAGTTTGCGAACGGACGTACGGCAAAGTTCACCACGAAGTGCATGGCGAATTAGTGCATAAATTAGGATCGTGTGAAAGCACCGTTCTCTATCCCGTAAGATCTGAAGGAAGGGGAGATAGCTGTTACGACGTTAAGGGATCCCTTACTCATTATCGGTGGCTCGTCGAATACGCGTTTAATTATCCATTGCATACCGGCGAAGTATCGAACTTTGCTCGGTTTGCTAACAAATGATAATTATTCGATTATCGATATGATTCGAGGTTTCTTCCGGTATAAAGTAGATTGTTACATTTAGAAAATAGTAAAATGTGATTAATAATTGTGCAGATTCGTTAATAAAAATTCAATGTTCTCGATATTTTCAATGTTTTTGATTATTTTTCGTTTAATTTATTGAGAATCTGTCGATATATATTATTAAATATAAGTCCTTTCGATTAGTCTTGTTCTTTTATCTATATAGAAATAGTTCACATTCTTCTTCTTTCTCGATAGAGTTTGTATTTTTCTTGGAGAACTCGCACGAGGTAAAAGAAGAAGTAGAAGAAGAAGAAGAAGAAGTAGAAGAAGAAGAAAAAGGAGGAGGAGGAGGAGTAATCAAGGGAAGCTGAAAAACGTCAGTACACGAGTTACGTCAAATTTACGAAGAGAACTAATTAGAGAGAAGAGAGGAGTCTTTTCTCTCTGAAAGGGAAGTAAGATCGATCGTAAGTTTACTTTTAGTTTTAAACGATCGGAAAGTCGTTGACCAGGAAGGATGAAACGCTTCAAATAGATCTACTTTATTCGGATAGTAAAAACAAAATATAACCCTGACCCGTGAATACGTTCGCGCACATACATATGGAAATCCATTGAAATCGTATACTCGCTAATTTTACGTAACAACTTTTTAGTTCAAACCGAGCGTGAAAGTTTTCACTCTCATTTCGTCGTTGTCAATTTTTGTTCTTTTTATTTATCTAGGTTTCTCGTCCTTTTTTTTTCCCCCCTCTCAAATTCAATCATTTGATCCAATTTCAAGTGTACGCGATAAAGTTTAGCAAAGTGTTCATTCGTTCAGCGATTTAAAGTAAAAAGGTTGAATGGAGTATGTAGAAAATGGAGGAGAGGTTTCAAGAACACGCGTATAATGATCGTTCATCGACGGAACGAACGTTTCTCTAGAGGGTCAGGAAATGGAGCATGTGAGAAGGGTTACTCACCTGACTGGGACTGCAAACTGCGCCATCGGCAAGGCGACAAGGTATCTCATGAAGGACATGATGGAGCCGTTGAGGGTGGCAACAAGGATCATTGCAGTCCTCCTCCCATCCGCAATCGCACTCCTCACCCTCTTCCACTACGCCGTTTCCGCAAATGGCCGACTGAGGCTCTGTGGGATCATCGATTATCGAGAAGCAACCTTACCATCTACATCCTCAAAGTTTTCCTTCAATTCGAAGGTAAAGAGGGGAAACGCGAGAGAAACAGAGAAAGAGAGAGAGATAATGATGGTGTTCCGAGTCATCTGATAAGCGTTGATAGTAGTAAGAAAGCAACCAAAAGATAAAGAGAGAGAGAGAGAGAGAGAGGGAGAGAGAATTTATCTCTCATTTTCTCGTTCTGCTTCACTATCTTTCAAGATCGTTCTTGAAGTTGTTATTCATGAAAAAGTCGTTTGCCAGCTATGGACTTGGAACAATGGGCAAAATTATCGACGGCTATCTATTCGGTTTTTCTTCATTTTATTTCATTTATCTTTTACATTCTCTCTTCTCCGCTAGCTTTCTTTTTCCTTTAGTTTTAAAAATTTGTTCACGTCGATAGCATTTATTTCTCTTAAGAATCGTAACTCTTCTTCGTACGTAATTTTCGATTCCTGGACGATAATTAACCAACCCATGCCATCCATTTGCTCAATCCCCTCCTCCTCGAACCTTACCACCCCCGCCCCCCCCCTGCCTGTTCTGTTCTTCCCTCATTTCTACGACGAGTAGTCCTGCCTTGTGTTCACGTCGTGTCGTCGTGTCTCCTTTGTCTGATAACGAGTGATTGTTCCTCGGGGGATCGAAGCGAACGAAAGAAAACGACGAGTTTGACAGGTTAATCGTGTGTCTTGCTTGCCGGTACGAAAGGAAAAGGATAAAAAATAGAAAGCAAGAGAGAGAGAGAGAGAAAGAAAGAAGGGAAGAAAAAGAGAGAGAGAGGAAAAAATAGTCGGGAAGAAAATCCCGCGCGCATTAAAGCAAATGAGATGTAATAAAGGTTAATCAGTCGGCAGTTTTAATGAAATCCTTAGGTTTAATGAAGCTCGGCGTAGGGATCTAGTCTTTCTCGTGGTTTAATGAAATTAATGTTAATCTCGTGTCTTACGCTTTCTACGAATGTTCGGTCTTACTATATTCGTGTTTTACTTTTTTCTTTGTTTTTTTTTTTTCTCTATTCGATTTCTTTGGAAATAAAAGAGAAAGAGTTAGATCTTATTTTTGATACGTCAGATTGAAAATTGCGATATGTATACGCGTTTGATATGTGTTTCATTTAAACGTATAAATATTGTAATAATGAAAGTTAGTAGTAATTAAATAATGAATAATTGTGGTTGATATTTATATAGGTAAATGTAAATGTTAAACACTAGAGATGAAATATTGGATTTAAGGTATTGGTGTGTTTTACTGAAGAGAAATGATACTATTTTAGAGATTTTCGTAATAAATCGAGGAATTCGCGATAGAATTTCCTCTGACAGGGGGTTAGTCCGACTTTGTTCGAGTCTCTGGAAGCCGAGGATGAATTCCTCTTTACGTCTCCGTAGCCAAAGTAATGTGAGATTGTAAAAGGCATGGTAGGCACGTCGACTATGCGGTACGCAACGCGAAGCCCCTTTTTCGCGGCGATACACGTAGGATTCGTTGGGGAATTTTGTACTTTGGTGGCTCTTTGCAACGGCACTTTAGCGATCTCTCTTTCCTTGATTGCTACCTTGTTCTCTTTAAAAGTCTTTAACCGGAGTACTGAAATTGATTCGAATTATTTTAATCCTTTGACGTTCCATTTCTCTCTATCTATCTTTATAAAGGATTCGTTAAGCATGGATTTCATGGATTTCAAACTTCATGTAACAATTATGTGCTATTATTTATATTTGTTTAATTATATCAAATGATTTTTTTATAATCAATATTATTCTTGCCCGTATATATAAAAATAATATAACGTGAAAGTTAGTCAACGAGACGTAGCCACGTTGAATTACTATTTCCCCGTGAGATCACTAAAGTCAAGTAACGTGGGCACTGTTAGTAAAATGGATGGTTGACTCGTTTGGAAAAACAAAAATCGTGTATTGTTGACTCCACAGAGGTAGTTAAAATATGCGACCTCTTTGAAAATATTGGATAAATGTGAGAAGGTGTTCGTAGAGAAGTGATTCTAATCCATAAGAGAGAGAGTGGAAAAAGACACCATATAACGCGTGAAAATTTATATGATAGTATAATAATATATTTGATTTTCATTTTGTGTTGTTTTTCAATCTAATTATTTCGCGAATGAATTCTAAAGAGATTGACAAATTTCATTGGTAAGAGAGAGAGAGAGAGAGAGAGAGCGAGAGAAGAAAATAAAAGTAAAATTGTTAATTTGCTTGGAAAAGGAGGAGGGAAGATGGGAGAGGAGAATCGAATGGTCGATTTCTTCTTTCATCTTTAAGGTAAGGTCACTCGACAGTCCATTACACGCGTCTTTGTCAAGATTAATCGAATGTACCGATTAGAAGAGCAATTTGACTGGGTAGTCGCTCCCACTCGACTCTCTGACGTGCGACTCCGTTTTAATTGAATTCCAAGCTCTCCGAAGCCCCGTTCCCACCCCCTTTACAATCTCCATTGCATCCTCGACTCGCCATACTCGCACCCTCTCGAGTGTCTACCATCTACTAACATATAACGCATTCTCCTAAAAGCTTTTGTCTATAAAATAGAAGAGTTTTTCTCTGTTTGTCACTCGAAGGGACTCTGTCCGTCTGTAAAAGGCCACCTGTATCTCTTCTCGAATTGCTTTAGAAATTGTTGTTCGTTTTACACCCCTATTCCTGTTCCTCTTTCGCTTTCAAGTTTATCGTCGAGCGTTAATTTCATTCATTTGAAAAGCAATTGCGATGACATTCTCTCTTTCTTTCTCTATTTTTAAGTATATTTCTTCGTATATATTTTATCGAACAATTTTCTCCGAGTTCTCGTCAAATCGTTTAACGAAAGTGTTTAATTTAGCTTCTTTGGCTTCGGTGATCTGGCAGAAAAATAATAACTGACGTTAATCATTTCTCGAATTTACGAAGACGTTGGCGATCGTTAAAACGTGAATTCGTTGCTTCCCAATGTGGAATAATTGTCGTCGTGAGGTAAGTGAAATTACTGGTAAAATATAATATCTGTAGACTAAGTTAAATAATTTGACGAGAATTTCTGTTCAACGTCGTCGGTCGTATATTCGGAATACCGAAAACGTTCGTTTCAAGAGGTATTATTCCTTTCGTAGTATAGTATAATAAGGAACGGACGAAAGACGAATAGTTCGGAGATAATTGAAATCTTGAAACTTATTGTTGTACTCACCAGCGAAACATCCTTTCGCAGAACGAGCCTTGGCATTTAGGACTGGGTTTATAGAGACGAGACTGCACGGACTGAATCGATTGTTGTTCCGCTTGTCGCCACTCGTAGCCCTTGCGAACATTATGAAATTCCCATCCTCGCCGCCTGGCGAACACTCGTCGGGATCATGCTGTGTGTATGTGCGCGGAAATATATATATATATATACATAAATCTACGTATATGCATGTCTGTGGGTTTTGTATATGTATGTGTATGAAAGAAGATGGGTGGTGAAAAGCGTTTTCGAACTCGTCCGAACTCTACGACCATTTTACCTCTTTCTTTCTAACACATAGTTAGACATACGCTTACACGTTTACACACACACACATACACACATACACAAATGGTCGTAAAGTAGAGAACTCATTTAGAAAGGACCTAAACGCATTTGTACCCGTTCCGTGGTCGAATGGAAGTAACGGATGATAACGTTGCAACAAATGCGTCTTCTAAAGTCGCCTTAAAGACTTCATTTACGATCCCGATTTCGCTGAGAGTGTGTATACAACCTTGGTTAAAAGTTCTGCACCACGACTCAAAGATTTTAGATAGAGATAAGGATAGGAAACGAATGAGACAATCGTATCAACATGATTGATTCTTTTTTTTTTATTTTCATTACGTATTTTATCAGAATAGATAGATAGAGAGGTAGAGGGAGAGGAAGAGAAAAAATATAATTGGTAGACAAAGTGATTCTCGGAACTGTGAAATAATAAAGGAAAGAAATCATATGGCGTAATATGTCCTAATTTCTTTTTACCTTATTTTTTGTGCAGATGCCATTGTACTTTATTTTTTAATGCAACTAAATGTTTTTCTTTGACCAATCGTATTCATTTTATTATTCTACGAATAATAGTACTATATAATCCAAAGTAAGTAATCGAAATTTGAATTATTTTATGAGATATTTGACATTTTAGATTATTCGGAATTATAAGTATATTCCAAAGTTTTGATCGAAATAATGTGTATCTTATTACATGAATTTTCAAAAGTTTGAAAAGAGCTCTCATTCTCGATTTGTAATTCAAGATATATAAATCTTACGAGTTATTACGAATATAAAACTAATTAAACTTTAGATATTTCTAATCGGAATTACATTTAATAGAAATATAAGAAGTGTCCCAATTCGACAAGTTTTATTTTTATAAATAAAAATTTGGATGTCAAAGATGCATCTATCGTAGATCTGGTCGAGAGCAGAGTCAGTGGAAAAGTCGACGAAACGGCACACGTACTTGGTTTAATAAACTTCGTTAAAAATTTTGAAGAAAAACTTGTTGAAGATTTGGAAAGTCTCTTTTTCCTTTGCGTACGGAATCGCAGTAAAATGCGCGAAGGACGTCACGCGCATGAACGAGCACGGGACGTACTCGGAATTGAATTTCGTTGCCACGAGGAAATCACCCTTCCCGTTGCTTTTCGTTTCTCTCGAAAGAAGGAGAAGGTAAGGATGCGGTGATGGTGAGAAGGTCGAGAAAACGGAGAGACATTCCGTTCCCGAGGGAAGAATCACTCGATGTGTTTTAGTTCTATTTTTCTTCTTCTCTAAAAAGCCCCTCTCATCCCTTCGTCCCTTTGCTCTAAGAGACGTGGCCTTTGATCGTAGAAGGTTGGCGGCCGTCTATGGTCTCTTTATTGCATTCTCTCGAGCAAAAAGAATTAGGAAGTTCGATGAATCGAGATTAGACTGAGCAATCGTTGACTTTACTACTTGAGGATAAAGGAAATTTCGCGGAGTAAAAAAAGAAATTGTCTACGTTAAAAAGTAAGATGATACAAATAAAAGTAAGGGAAAGGAAAGGAAAGGATTGGAAGGGGAATAAAAGGGAGGAGGGACATTGTCGATTTTATTCGACGTTCTCCGTAGGTAGCAACGATTTTAAAATCCAACAGGAGTCAGCATTTTCGGATATTTTACGAGAGATCCCGATGGGAAGTGACGCCTTTCACGTGGTGATTCGATTTGACGCTGCCAGGGAAATATTCCTCGAGGGGATTACGACGATAGAAAATATACGCTGAGGTATAACTAGACGGTGGAGAAGGGGAAAGGAGTAAGACGGTGTGGTAACAGTAATAGGTTATTCGAGATCTTTTCTTATTATTATTTTTCTTCTTTTTTTCATTTATATTATGACGCGAGAAAGGATTCACGGATTTTCGGTTAATAGGGTCTTGAAATTCTTGCATGACGTCACTCCTCTGTTTCATGATTCCCCGTGTTCTAACATCGAGCGATTAGTAGGAAAGTTTGCGAGCTTGTTCTGCGGTACCCTTTGGTATGAGTCGAGCGAGATGAGAGAAGAAGAGAGGGTGTAGATTCGCTTTCTCCCTGGAATTCGTGATGAGAGAAGAGGGTGCGAGAAACACATGAGGTTAGGTGGGTAGGTAGGCGGATAGGTAGGTAGGTAGATAGGTATGGGGAAGGAAATAAGGTACGATGCACACATTCAGTCAGAGCTTTTACACGAACGTACCAACGTTCCTCGTAGTTGTCAAGTACCAACGAGAGACAATGTTAGAGACAACGGGCTCTTGTAAACTTACAGGAGATCCAAAATTGTGGCCGATCTCGTGTGCAAGGGTAACGTGAGAAACCGTCGGTGGTACGTGCTTCCCGTAGTTGAGTAGGGTGATTATGCCAGTGTTGAGAGATTTCATGCTACCTCTGTAATGCTGTAACGTCAAATTCGTGCTTTTCTTTTATTAACAATTATCTTATCGAATACTTATTCGTTTTAATAATAATTCGATAAAAACATTAATTATAATATTATCGAAATACATTTACGCGAAATCGAGTTTCCCTTTTTTTTTTTTTTAACTTTCCTCTCACAAATATAAAATTATACGTACCCCGTTTTTCTCGCAAACACCACCTGCGTTCTTGAGATCACCTGTCCAAGCCAAACCCAGCGTACCCTTTTCGAAATCACGATAAGTGAACATATAGGAAAGACAAAAGGCGTCGTAATCTTCCTCTGTAAAAACACGCGAAATAATAATCGTAAATATGACTGGTATATAATCATTTTGATATCTTTACTTTTTCCTTCTTTTATTATTTATTTTCTTTTTTTCCTTTGTTTTTTTTCAGGATAAACGTTTAACTCAAAGTTCGATTCCAAAGCTTTTTCTTTCGAGTACTTTTATTGGATTAGGCTTGATTTATAATTCCTATCTAACGTAAAGGCAGTTCAGATTAATAATATAATAGATTCTATACATTTACGAGCGGATCGGTAATGGTTAATAATGAATGATGTTACTTTCAAGGGAAAAGGATAAAGCAGATAGCTACACATAGACGTATAGATGGATACATAGATAGATGAATAGATAGAGATAAGAAAATATAAAATTAATAGAAGAGAGATCGTACGCGTATTCCATAGAACTTTTTTATTCCGTAGACCTTTTCCCATCCACGCGCATGAATGCACATTGATCCTTCACCACGGTGGGAGAGGAAATTTCTTACACGTGGTGAGGATATGTTTATGTGTGTGAATGCACGCATGTATGAGTGTGTACTAAGCTTTCGAGGAATTAAATTACGGGACATTCTTGGGCATTCTGATTTATTATCTACATACAAGTTGATTTATCGTATGGATACAGTCTGATTACTTTATATTAAACTTGACTATAATGTTGATTAAACGATTCCATGTTAGATTTTTATCGTATAATGTATTTATATCGAAATACGTTTGACACTTGCGAGAAGAGATTTGAAAAAAGAAAAGAAACATTCAATGTTTTAGCGAAATTAAACTTCAAAGTTCCGAACCATAATCAATGGTGGTCCTTATCGTATAACAAAGTGTACGTTCCTATTGTGTAGCGAGTACTTGATCGGTAAGCTTGATGAAGCCGAGTATTATACCTTAGTCTTAGCCAAGGTGCGCATTATGTTTCCTAGTATTACCTGTTTCGAATCGCCTTTGGCCTGGCCATTATGTGGCAAAATCGAGATTTGAGTGAATGACTATGACGACCCATTATAACGATATCTAAACCTTTATCGTAATATATGTGGTATATGTGGTATATGTTTAATAACGGTGGACAAACTATGGCTTCCCAGGCAATATAGAATTTCAATACTATTTTTCTTTATTTTTTTTGTATTCATCTATACCACTATATAGTATTTTATTATTAATATTCAAATATTTTATGTATAATATTATATTATAAATAATACTCCCTTTTCTCACAAATATTTATATACATTATGTCCCACAAGTTACTGTTTAAGAAAATGATTTTATAATTTGATTTTCTATGGTTGCTATTCAAAAATAAATGGAACGTATTATATGTATATAGAAAATATAAATATTTGGCATACCGTATCTACATTTATACGGGATAATTTAATTATTTGTAAAATATTTTTAATTTAATATTTTTTTCAATAAAATGATTTGATGCCAAACAAATGTTTTCAAATGAAAAGAATAGCTTTTGTAGTTTTTTACGGATGAAAGGAATATATATATATATATATATATATATATATATATATAAATAAAAGCATGAAATAAACATCCATGATATCTCTTTTTCGTAGCAGAATTGTATGTCTCTTTTCATCCATTTTTATATTCATCGTAGATTTTTATGTGTTTCTCGATCGGAAAGGTGTGTTGGGGTAAAAAAGTATTCGGCGTGTATTGTCCACCTTTAGAAAATCTTGGACGATGGAAACCCCCATCTTACCGAGTTCACGTACTAGTAGTAGTAATAGTGGTAGTAACATTGCTGAAATATGATCCGTGATGTGGCATAGACTGCACTTTGTGGAAAGGACTCAAAAGAGAGAGCTTTGAGAAGAGCTTTCAAGAAAGAGAGAGAGAGAGAGAGAGAGAGAGAGAGAGAGAGAGAAAGACGCGTTAGTTTCATTACTGTTACACGAACGAATCGAATTACATTAACATGATACTTTTATTAATTTGGATTATAACCGTACTCGACATTTTATTATTATTATTATTATTTTTGTCTACTTTGTCTATTTTTAACTTTTATTTCTCTCTCATTTTTCTCTCACCATCCACGAGTTTTTTTCCCTGCTCTTCAAAGCTTTCATATATCTCGCGTCTCGAGTTTCACGTTGAAGGGAAGTCAAGATAAGAGAGAATAGTAAAGTAAGTCTGTAAATCAGTCCGCGTAGCAATTTTTCTAATTTTAAGAGATATCATTTTCCTTCGCCAATTAATTTAACATATGTCTATGCGTATAACGCAAGAATGAAATTATTTTACCGCTCTTCCTTTTCGTATTTTAAATAAAAACACATTGCGATTTTTCATTTTTCTTTCGTTGAAAAGTAACACTTTGTATTTCGCCTCAACATCATTCACTTTTACGCGTGAGGAAAATTGTTGTCACGAGTTTTGGGATATTGGCGTTGAACGACGTTACGGAAATGGCTTTAAGGCATTCGCCACGATTTATGGAAGTTCGTTTTCTATTGCTTTTCTTCTCTTTCTCTTTCTCTTTCTCTTTCTCGTCGTAACGAGAAAACGTACTTACTTACTTACTTACTTACTTACTTACTTACGCGTATCGATCTGCTTTTCTTGCACGAGGCTTTTCGAATCGTGTTTAATAAGATTATACCGAGATAGATAAGTTTCAAAAGATGATGTTACCCATAAGAGACGCGATTAAAATAGAATCGTTAATCGTGAACTTAGTTGACGTTGATCATCGAAGAAAAAACAAGTTTATTCAAGGACTCGAGAAACCCGTTCATTTTTCTTAAAGACAGATAAAATGATGTTCGAAAGATCGGTGAAGTAAAAATATGACTATTTAAAAACAAGATATTCCTTTCGTATTGAATTTCATCGACCGAAGGGGGAGGGGAGGGGGATGAAAAAGAAAGTTTATTCGAAAGGAGTCGAGTAAAGTGTAGAAAAAGCAGAGAAAAAAGGATGAAAGGGAAGACTCGAGTAAAACGATGAATAAACGAACGAACGAACGAATGAATGAATGAAAGAAATAAAGAAAGAAAGAAAGAAAGAAAGAAAGGAAGAAAGAAGGAAAGAAAGATAAAATGGGTACTTATACGAAGCGATATAAAAACGAACGCTTTTACCTCTCGCCTTTAGAACATTTCCGTAGCGAGTACTCAATGACACCTATTTTTTTTCCTCCTTCATGTAATCCAATACTCTTTTAACTCTTTCTTTCTCTTTATTCCTCTGTATATTTCTTTTTTTTTTCTTTTCCTTTTTAACACTTTCCACCACTAATTAAAGCTACGATTAATTAACGAATGACGAGATAAGTAAAGGATCCTCTTCGAAGTAGACTATTCGAGTAGATAATACGGTTGTTCGTTTTATTAATAATTTATGTTTCAATGTGTGACAGGGGATGGCGTGGATATTACACGTTCGACATAATTGCAAATACTGAAAACGTTGAAAGTAGATCGGATAATTCTCTACGATGTTTCTTCTTCCGTAAAATCACATGATTCTCTCGATCGGTCGTTAAGGGGTTCCTCGCAAACTTTCAGTTTTACTGAAGTTTGTGATGTCTACCATTCCATATATGTAGATTGTTTGAATGTAAAGAGACGGGAACTAGCTTATGCATAGTTCAAAAGTCACGCTCGAGTTAGACGACGAATTGGTGATATGCTAGTAACAGAGAGGGAGAGAGAGAGAGAGAGAGAGAGAAAGAGAGAGAAAATGAGAGAGCGACCACTTTATCAGAAGGATTCATGCGTAAATAATGTCCTGGACATTCCTCATACGAACGTATATAACATTATTCGAAAAAAATTTTTATAGTAATGATAAAACTTTGACTAATTTTTTCGATTTTCCTCTCGAAATTGAATTTTTTTTTTTTTCCTTATACAGAGATATATTAAAGAAAAATAGAGGGAGGAGTGGGGAAAAAAAAGCATTAATGAAATATTGGAAAAAATGAAAAAGGAAGCAAATAAAAAAAAAATGGAAATAAATGAAAAATAAATATAATATAATAGTTGACTCACCGGAAAATAGCTCGAGAAATTCTTCGACCCCGTAATCACCTGTAAATCTATAGGATGGATCCTGCAACGCCTCCTCTCCGTGAACTTTCACGCGTTTAATCATAAAACTGATGTTGTCCGGTTGTCCATCCTGATTAAAATCTGTAAAGAATTTTATCATTTTATTTTGTCTTTGACTTTAACAAAGATAATGACATTAGCGTTCATAATTATTGTCTCTTCTTTGTAAAAAACATTGAAATGTAAAAGAATGATAAAAACAAAAGGATGGAAATATTCGAAATAATTGAATTTCTGTCTTTTACTCGATGAATTTAATCTTCATATTTTTGCACAAATCGACAGATAGTGGAATTTATTTATTAAAAAAATAAGGAAACGTTGGTTGATCTATTTTAGCGAGACGTCAAGGAAAAAAGTATTTATTATTTCGTTTCTCTTCTTTAATTATTATTACTACTAACCCTCTTTCTCTCTCTCCCTCTTTTTCTTCACTTTTGCGAGGGTTGTTGTGTGCGAGGGTGAGATTAAAAATAAAGGAATTGAAAATTGCCAGACTTTACGCGATGTTCTTTGTTTCTCAAACGTGACGCTTATTCTTCCTTGTATTGTTTTATTGAACCCCCTCCCTCCTTTGTGTTCACTGTTTCTTTCTTTCTCTCTTTTAAACATGTGAATGGCATTCGTCGGAACGATCAGTAGTCGTAGCGTATGCGGGAAGAAGAAAAGAAATGTTAAAGGGGAAAAACATTTTACTCCGTTCATTTTATCGAACGAAAAACATCGTTCGCATTGTTCGCAAACGATTGGTATGAGTATACAATATGTTTATATGTTTGTATGTGTATGTGTGTGTGTGGTGTCATGGATAGGAAGTGGTATGTGCTTATCGAACGTCGAAAAATAGAGGTTCGTTGTTGGCCGATGAACCGTGCGATTATTGTACTGGCTTGGTAATTCTTTTTCAACCCCTTTTTCCTGACGAGAAAAAGAGAGAAAGATAGATAGAGATGTGTTACACAAAAGGCAACGATAAAAACCTATAGCTTTCGAATACGCATCTCAATCGTGAAAACGAATTGATTGACTCGATCGGCAATGTTAGTTATCATCGAATATTCGAATAAAAAAAAAAAAAAAGAAAAGAAAAAATATCGATCGCATTTTCTTTTTACAAAATATACTAACTTTTTTAATAATGAAAGTGCACGTAATTTACTATGAAGAAAATCAACGAGAGTTCTCTTACCGTTTTCTATTTCTTTCTTTCTCTCTCTCTCTTTCTCTCTCTATCTTTCTCTCGGGTTCTACATAAATTTAAAGTTGACAGCCGATAAGAAGAAAGAGAGAGAGAGAGAGAGAGAGAGAGAGGTGGAGGGAAGAACAGAAAATCGAGGCGAATAATTTTGGGGAAACCAGTCTTGCTTCCTTCGAGCCAACCAACCAACCAACCATCCAACCAACCAACCAACCAACCAACCAACCAACCAGCCAGCCAGCTAACGTGAGCTGCTGGTTGGTATATCTTTTCGAGAGGATGGCACTTCGCGTGGCGAGAAGCATTTAATCAGACCTTCTCCAACCCTTGGTTCGAAGAAATACAAATCGAAAATGGAAAAACGGTCAGACGTCACGCGAGAATCTCTCTTTGGTTTCCACCGAAAATCAACGAGGATGGTGAAGGTGAGAGAGAGAGAGAGAAAGAGTTGAAAGGATCAGGGAGAGGGTGTGGGAGGGTGGGGTGGGGCCAGGAGGATGTACGCTCCGAAAAGCGATTATTATCCTGACTCTTTCGTTTCCTCTCTCTCTCTCTCTCTCTCTCTCTCTTTTTCCTTTTCTCTTGCTTGCCTTGGCTTTTAACCAACTCGATTTCTTTTCAAGAAGAATCTTCTTTCTCATTGGATATTTTTCTCTTATCTTTTTTTTTTTTTTTCTTTTTTTTCCTCTTCCTTTTTTTCCTTTTTATTATTACAATCATTTCGGTTAAAGACGATAAGCCATTTGATGTGAAACGGTCATCGAATATTTTCTTTTATTTCCTTTTGTATATTGTATTATTATAATATACCAACTTTAATTTAATGAAATATTACGTTAGAGTGTAAAAATGAAAATGATAAATTCTTTACTGTTAAAATGCAATTTTATTTGAAAAGAAGCGAACTATTCCGAAGTAACTTGCCGAAACGAATCACGCGATATCTTGGTTAATCTCGCAAGAGATAGGTTTCGCGTTTCAACCCTCCATCCCTCCCATTCCCATCCATTTCTCCTCTTTCATGGATCTTGGAAAGTGCTATGCGAGCTGGCGACGACGACGATGACGATGACGAAGACGCCTTCCTAATTAGTGCCTAAGTCCATCGTTCTTTGCTAACTCGATGTATGTAATATTAATCGGCTTTGCTTCCTCAGTTTGGAGAAGGAAGGAACCCTTCGGAAGAGGGTGTGGGTATTCGTGGTCTCGTCAGGTTATTTAAAAAATAAAGACAAAAACAAGAAACTGTAATGTTTCATGTTCCCTTCGCGTTATAATTTATTTCCTAATTTCGTTGAGATGTCGATCATTAATTAAATCGTCTTCCTTATTCCTATCTCTATACTCACATATCTCATTTCCTGACATAACTTACGAATATCGATTCTACCTTGAAAGGTCCTACCATGCACTTTACGATCGTAAACTCTCTCTCTCTTTCTCTCTCTCTCTCTCTCTCTCTCTCTCTCTCTCTCTCTCGTAATAGACCACAAATTCCTAAGGGATGAATTACGAATTTCGATTAAACCTTCGGATATTTCTTCAACGGTTCTTCAAACTAAGATAATATTAATAAGTATGCATATTAATTAGTATTAAATTTTTATTAATGAAATAAGAGAACACATATCTCTATAGCACGATTATTATAATGTTTATATGTATTTCATGAATCAGCTACTATAAATTATACGATTTAATACCTAGAAGTATATATACATATATATAGATGCGAAGTCATATTCATTAGTGATATCTTTGCTTAGCCAGGGGGAACATTAAAGCACTCATACATATTCATATACCACGTTAGTCAAAATATAATATATTGCATAGGCATAAGAAGTAATGGATAAAAGGGTATAATAATTCAAGGATTCTGGGGAGAAGGGAAAACGATAATCGGTGAGACTATCGTCGTTCAGTAATCTTAGTTGGCGCCGGTGGCATATTCGTTAGAAGCCAGGAAACTTTGGCGGAAAACGGGCTTTATCCTTGGCGATCGCACGACGGAAGGAAACTAAAGAGAAATAGAAAGAGAAAGAGAGAAGTAGATAGGGAATTGTAAGTAATGCACTGGCCTTGCCACACGACGACTACGACTACGACGACGACGACGACGGTACGTGCGGTCACGCCACGTTAAACACGTCTCAGTCACGAGATGCAAATATTTGCCGTTGTTACTGCAGGTGGTGCGCAATGTTCAACCGTTCTGTCCTATCTGCGAATATACAACGCGCTACATAACCAAATCAAGTCCATTTTAACTCTTATCTAATTTTCATAAGAAACATTTTTTTCCTATGCGATATATTATAAATAGTAAATTTGAGATACGCACATTATTTAATGATATTCGTTAAATAATATTATGGATTTTAACGTTACGAAAGAGTTGATAGTTGAAATTATATAATATATTGTATTATTTGAAATAATTAGAAAACGAGAATAGAGAAATCCTACAAAGCCTATAATGGACAAATTAATTAATGATATTTTACAAAGGATAACGATTATATATATCATACAAATGTCATTATAGTTAGAAATGCTTGGGCAAATTGTTGAGAGAATGGAAGGGACCTTGATCGATCAGGGCCGTCGGAGGACGCGTGAGTACAGAAAAATGGATAGAAGGAAAGACACAGAGAAAGGGAAAAGGGAGAAAGAAAGAAAGGGTGATGCCGGAGGGAAGAGAAAGAGAGATAGAGAGAGAGAGAGAGAGAGAGAGATCGTGGCGATGGAAAGTGTGGAACATTCATTTCCTTCGATATACCGTCGATCGCCGAAAGCAGAAAGTTAGTTTAACTGGGAGGGCCCCGTCGAAAGTTTTAATTGGTTTGCGAAGTTATTACGTTTGGAATGAGACAGAAGACGCGCACTTGTTAGGTCCACCGAAGAAACTCGCATTGACTTCGATGGTGAGAGTGAAGGGCGAACGAAGTAAACTTTTCGATTCGTTTTCTCTTCTATCTTATTGTCAGCTGCGTTGGCAAATAATGCGTTCTCTTATTTACGACGACTAGTACGATTAAACTTCTATTCGTTAAAATCAAATAAAAGAGAAAGAGAGAGGGAGAGAGAGAGAGAGAAAATATTACATTGTAATAAATTGTTACTCGTCGATTAAAGTGTTCATTCATTTAAATTCATTGATTATCGAAAATACTCTTTTAAAACTAATACCGTATAATTAAACTTTTGATGACAACGAAAGGATAAATTTCAACATGCATTATTTCGTAGATAATTTTTGTTTCCTACAAAATTGTTGGAAATGGCGTAACGTGATTTTGATTAGTTCATTACCTGTGTGTCTGTAAATGGAGTTAACACGTTGAACGTGACGAGTCATAACTTCGATGCATGCTTCTTCCGATTTGTAATGTTCGAAGAACGTGTGATCTGCTTGGAGGTACAGCATACAGGTTGTCTTTTTCGGATCGATCGACGTCCTTTTTCGTAAGATCCTTGAATATCTTTCTCTGTACAATCTAAAGCAACATAGATAAGGAGAAATAGGATAAGAAAAGTTAATCTTTCGTCCCTTTTAATAAAAGGAGAAATTCCAAACGCGAACTCTTTTAATATAAATTCATCGTGCAACTCGAGCGAGTTATTCGGGCAATGATTTTCGTTTCTCTTTTTTCCTCTTTTTCTTTTTTTTTATCTTCCGTTAGGACAAAGAAATCATAAATGCCGGAAGTTTAATTTGCCAGAAAGGCCAGTGAGAAATACCAAGTCGACTGTGTGCTTAGAAAGAAAGAAAGAAATAAAGAAAGGATGGAAGGAAGGAAGGAAGGAAGGAAGGAAGGAAGGATGGAAAAAGGGAAGAAAGAAAGGAAGAATGAATAAGAGTTAGTTAATTGTCGTCGTATACGATTTTAAGATGAAAATTTCTGATCTCTTAAGAACTTCGTATATAATGATGTTATTAAAATATATATATATATAGTATTTATACTAAAATATTATTATTATTATTATATGATATCGTCTGACTCGCGCGCGAGGATTTATATCTGTTTTCGTTAGAAGTGAAAAAGGATGATAAAATTGTAAGATTTTCTTCAAGGTTGAAATCGATGAACCTGTCGGAAGCACTCATTCTCGATCTTTCGATATCTCGATCTCTCGACATCGGGTTTACTTTCTCGTTGACGGGATACACGATAGCTCGGCTTCTTTTTCCTTGTCGGAAGCTAGTGGGACGTTTAAAATGAAAGAGGCAAGGATCTTGAAGTAAACATACCGAAGAGTCGACAGGCAGGTAAGTAACCATCCTACTTTTTCCTCTCGTATTTTTATCGTGTCAGGATATCGAGAAGGAGAGAAAGAGAAAGAGAGAGAGAGAGAGAGAGAGAGTCATTCATTGAATCATTCGATAAAATGGGGATGAATGAAGCACGAGAAAAAGAAAGTCAAATTGATCGACTACATGTGACCGTATTTATTCATACACACAAGCGAACACATATACTAACACAAATATACATTTCTGACAAACTCAATTTGCTTTCTCTCTCTCTCTCTCTCTCTCTCTCTCTATCGTGAGTTTTATGAAGATACTCGAATAATAAATTGGTTTCAAGTGAAGCGGCACAATGAATTTCTATATTTAAATGTGATTTATGTTATTATTTGGATTAGTTTTAATAATATATGTATATCATATTTAGCAAATTATTTGTATCATATTATAAACTATCATTTGATTTAATTGATAATGAAATTTCATAAAAACTTGAAAAAGGAAAATATTTGATTGTATATAAAGTAAAAATTATGATAGTAATATACGATACGATTGAAATCATTTGTATCTAACGATAAATATGATCGTATCGATCAAACTATGTAAGACTGATACATATAAGAAACACGAGATGCTTACTTGTCGAGAAGCTCGAGATTATGGGAGCTCGCCATGGGGTCCTTTTTCCTCGCATCCATTGGATAGAATCCTGGCTTTGCACGATTCGTCCCTTCATTTACGTGTTGATAAAACGGGCGCATTGTGCCACCAGCAAGAAGATATCCGTTCCTTCCCGTCTCGTTGCTGTTCCTGCGAACGGCATTTCTCGTGTGAGGGAGAAAAATTGTTGAACGTTACCAGGTAAATGATAACCTTAGTTCTTTGATAAATTCTCATCTCTGTGTCATATTATTTGTCTAAAGAGTATTGTATTCTCTTAATATCGCATATATACTACAAATCATAGAAGTATTCTTACTTGCCTCCCTCCCCCCACCCACCCATCGTTAATTTGAAATAATTATTATTATTGTAATTTATTTACTATTATCTTTAAACAAAAGAAACTAAATTCAACGTTGAAATGAATGATTAAAATAACAAAAAAAAATACGTTGAAGAGTTCAAAGTACTATGCTTTCAGGAAGAACCTAATTGTATAAGTACGCGCGTATATTTGCATATCAAATTTGTCCGATCAATCATTGTCAGGTTTTCTTAATTTTCTGTGTTACGCTCGTCGACTCTTGAAATCGCGAAGAAACGATCGCTTCGAAAAGGATGGAAAAAAACAAGCTCGTGAAAGAAAAGGCTTTGTATTTTTCATCTTTGTAATCTATGTATCTCGAAACAATTCAACGTCGTTCGTTTCGCTAGAGGGAAATTAAAAGATGGATTTAAGACAGAGACAAGTAAAGAAGAAGATCTTTGTAATATCTTCAAGCGGCCGATTGTGTCTCGGTAAAGTTGATGGAACGGGATAAAAAAGAAGATATAAAGATATATTTAAACGCGAAGTGGTTGAGATGAACCGGCATTGTCCGACTGCTTGGCGAAGAAGCTCTCCAGAGGGGTCCCTCGCAAATTACTTCCTTGCGAAGTAGGTAAAATAATTACTACCTGGAATGCTACGTAAATTGGTAGGAAGAATAATTAAGGTTCCCTTTAACCCTTTATGTCTCGCGAAATTCTCCTTTTATTTCTTTTATATAAAACGATATTCATCTCTCGGGGGAGGATACACCATAGAGAGTTTCTACCGGTGTCGTTGTTGGTGTTGGTGTTGCTATTGCTATTCCCCACACCCTCTCCTGTGGGAGAACGTCACTTTGCGAGCAGATAATTTCATCATAGAACAATGCTATATATATAAGTATTTATATCAATGGAAATATTTCATAAGAAAAATAAAATACGAAAGGGAGAGAAAAATTATTTGTCATATATTTTCTGTTTTATTTTTTGTCAACTAATGAATTAATACATATATATATATATATATATATCAAATATCATTGTATTTCCAATAATTTTCAAGCGGAATAATTAAAACGCGTTACGTAACACATCACCGACATACGTATACGTGACGCTCTCGATGTTACGCAGAGATAAAGAGAGGAAGAGGAGCTTTCGATCATATTAAATCGAACGACGTCAAGAACGATCTCGGGGAAAGCTGCGAAGGTCAGATAGTAATATTCGAAGATCGCGTCAAGTTTCGTCGTTTCAGCAGAGCCATAAAGGGTTAAATTTTCCGTTGGTGACACATTCGAGATTCAGAGGACGACGTTGGTGGAAGTTTTGAAGGAGAAGTCGAGCCACGTTAGAGAGAGAGAGAGAGAGAGAGAGAGTAGAAAGTTCGCGATCGTAAACAGAGCTCGTATTTCACACACACGAGTGCGATTCGATCAGAGTAACATCGTCCCCTGGTTTCTGGCTTGATCGATAAACCCATGGGTAGTAATAGGAAACGATAGTAGTGGTAGATGGTAACACAGTTGGTATTGGTATTGGTGATGCGTGGACACAATGTGGTATGCGAACAAAATGTTTATCACAAGGTACTGTCGGTACTAATTAGAACACAGGGTGCATCAGCTCAAAAGTCTTCGCTCGCGTTGCAAGCTGCGTTCGCGAGTCACGTTATCATTAATCGATGTTGCCAGACCCTGCCAATTAACCTTCTACACGTTCTCTAATTAGTGGTCTTCGAAAGACGGAAAGACCGACATAGAGAGAAAGAGAGAGAGAGAGAGAGAAAGAGAAAGGTAGTCTCGTAACGTGTCGTGCAACGTTGGAAAATCGTACGAAAGGGTTTCTCGTGGGAAAGCCAACGTCCCTCTTCATTTCACGAAGAAACGAGTCGTTTGCGATTATTATTTCCAAATTCCCATGAAAAAACATATATATATATATAGTTATATGAAAAAAGTGAGAGAGAGAGAAAAAGAGAAATACATATGTATTTACATACACATATACATAGGTATATGTAGGTGCCTTTGTTGGACACACGATATGTAGAGATCGATTCGTTTAATTAACATCTCTCGACAGGACGAGAAGAGTCGGTCGGAAGCAACTTAATCGAATAATTGCTGAAACGCGTTACGTTTTATCCGTCTACGATGACTTCGTTTACGTTATGCGCTGGTTTTAGCATTAATCTGAATTATCCTCTTGCCAAAGTGCTTTCTCCTATATGCATACATATATATACATACATATACAAAAGTATGTTTCTCTCTTCATCCCGAAAAATAACGAATTTTACGGTTATAGTATCATATTAATTACTTTACCGTGACGTAATGAAATAGAGTTTATTAGTGCGAAATGTTTGTATTTTCATTAACCTTACGATCTCATCGTTTTCTTTCTTTTTATTAGTTTATCGTTACTGTTCTACGAATATACACACATACACGTGTATAAGGAATTAATTTCTTTGTCATTCGAGTAAACAACTGTGAGACAACACGAAGCATCGGATTTATTTACACTTTACGAGCAGAGGACGAACCCGAATAGACTCGAACGATTTTCAGTTGAGTCTCAGTGTTGTTTTCAATCGCGAAGTGGAAGGATCGTAATTTTGTCTACGAAACTCGTCGACAATTTTTAAGTAAGTGCATATTAATATTACTAATTATATTATTAATCGTTAACGTTTTTTCCTCTATTCTCGTCAAGTATAGAAATGTATCCAGATATTATAAAGATATGTAATAACATATGGATATTATTTTACCGTCGATATTACGTATGTTATCGTATATTATTCTCTAATATATATTATGTTACACTGTGTACCTACTGTTATCTATTAATGATCACCATCATTCATTAACGGATTTATATTTAATTATTAATCAATCTTTTAATCGCGCGTTATTACTACGACGAAAACGAAATTTTAATTTCATTTCGAATCTACTCATATTATGTAAAATTAACTTTTATCTTCAGCAGACCGTTTAAATATAATTACAACTTTATCAAGCGAAAAATATTTTCTGTTATTTTTAATGTTATCGATAAAATTTTGCTCCAGACGGAAGCTCGCTCTATTACAACGGTGCATATTCAATTGTGAACAGAATTTTTGTCTTTAATTAATTTGAAAATTTCGTTAGAAGAACATATATTTTTTGTTTTTAATAGCAAAAAGAAGGAAAATATAGCAGTTAAAAGTCTGGCGTATTTTTATCATAATTATTTTTGAATAATATTTGTGTTGATGCGACCGATGCCTTAATCGGTACTCCAATGAATTGTAGTGAATCGAAAAATGCCCTCACGGGTGATATCGAGATTCTTTATTAATGGGAAGGAGGAWAGGAAAATAAARACACAATAACAACTTTATTTGAGCCCAGTCAGTACTAAAAAGTACGCTTTATTTGGCTCGTCAGGGAAAAGCCTTTCGGCATAAAAACCCTGGTTGAAACGATGAAGAAGAATCCACAAATCCGGATAATTCTGGCCAAGTGC